ATATATATATATATATATATATAATATATATATATAAATATTTAACGCGTTCGAATATAAGAAAGTCGAGAGCAGCGGAAGTTTTGATTCTTTAACAAACGATTGAAATCATCGCTGAATCATTTCGATGTAAAATTTCCGTAACACGACTTTTCAACATGACTTTGAAACGAATTTGAATGCGATACATTTCAAAATAAGCATGAAATCCTTTCGCAGCCCAGACTTGTACATATTAGGTAAAACATATTTCGTCATGATCGCTGTGAATCCGTATAAAAAATAGTTATACTGTTTTTTTGCTTCCGTATAACAAGTTCATTTCTCATGTCAAATAAGATCATTCCGAAGAAATGTAAATGTATACAAGTATTCTCGATATCAAGAAATCCGCTTCACTAATCTTCAAACGTGTTAAAATAGCGATGGTTTAATGAATAAAAAAATTTTTTAATATTTGCATCTATTCTAGAAAAAAATATATATTATTTATGTGATATTATTATATTATTTATTTATTAAAACTTAGCTTATGCTTTTGATGAGCTACTGACACTTTTATTTCTTCCGCTTATTAAATATCACAAATCAATTATATGGTATAATTTTATGCACAAAATAAGGTTTAAATATATTGGCTAGAATATTATTAATATTATTATAGAATATTATTCTTTATAGTAAAGCGTTTTTCTGCAGATCGAGGATCTGTCGCTCGATTGATTGATTCTATTTGTTTGTAGACCACAGGTCCAAGTAAAGCCGTAAAATATAGTTATAGTTGTGCAAAATGTAATATCTTATAGATATTTTTTAATTGTCAAGAAGAAAATTTTTATAATATTTTGTAACTCCTCAGAATATAAACAGCGATGAAAATTCAATATGAGTACATTGACTCATATACGTATACATGTACATGCATCTACACATATGAAAACGTTCCTCTAGAGCTAAAGGAAATGTACTTGCGGCGAAAACAATTTATCAAATTTGAGTTTAAGACTTAGCGATTTCGATCCATTCGTTACTTTCAGTATCGTTGATAATATTTCATCTACGTAGCGCTGAAATAGCGCCAAGAATTCAATGTATAGCTTGATGGCAATGATCCTAAAAATACCTACATCCTTCGATCACAAGTGCTTAGATCGACGCTCGTAGTTTCTGCATGTAACTACACGATTGACTCAAACTTCATTGGAAAACTTTGTTGGAACAAAAAATCGTATCGTCGAATTTTGAAACAGATAAAATTTTTTGTAGAATATTTATAAAATTAGAAATTATTGTCTTAGAAGCTACATTTATATATAGAATAAATTTCAAACATTTTTCATTTTACAATAGTTTAAATCGAACATTAATCGAATATTAAGTCGAAAAATATTTTAGACTGAAGCAATGGAAGAAACTGTACGCGTGAATTACCTAAAGATATAATTTTCATTTCTTAAGCTTAATTTTCTCGAGATTCGACGACTCGAGCGAATGACTTGTAAAGAGTGCATTTAACATATAGAGAGCCCCGTCGTCTAGGCATTATGTTAGATAAGAAGCTCTGAGCTAATCGAGGATGATCATAGGCGAGGCGAAACACTGAAAGTCGAATTGGGAACATACGAATTTTCTGAAGACTAAACTGATTCTACGTATCGACGTTAGATGAAAGAGACGAAGGCTGGAAATACGAGAATGAATTTTCGATATTGTACTTGTTGTACAAACTCTACACGTGTAGGATGCAAACTGACCTGATAATTGCGTGGGATTTGGTTCGTTGGCTCGCACTGTGTGCATGTAATAATAATTATTCGCTTAGTTAGTTGATTGGTATCGTCGATGAGTGCTTCAAGTCGCTTTCGCGCGATCGATGCGTTTGCTAGCGAAGTTATGAATCCCAATATTTAATTGTTGGAACGGAAAAGACTTTAACGATTGATTGATGTTTAATTGTATCGATAACTAAACGATGGTTGCTTGTACGACTAAGTATTTTGTCGCACCGTGTGCACGCGGATTTGTAAGACGATGGGGTTAAGAGATCACTTCTAGCTTCGAGTACGATCAGATCGAAAATCTCGAAGCTAGTCGCGGATCTAATTTGACTTTATACATACATTGTGCGCAAGGATGTAAAATTTTAACAAATTCATTGTGACAGAATCGTCAACGACAATCTCTTTGATTATCGAAACGATGAATTGTGGGAACGATCGAGAGATCTCTTCGGGACGACAGATAATTTTTATTGATAGATTACTTACTAATTATTTATGATTCGCGATTTAATTCGCGTAAAGTAATTCTAGTCATTTCATCTCTCCGTTCAAGTAACGGTGATGAAATAAGAGATTCGATTATATAGATATTATGCAGATTTTTAAGATAGGGTGAGTTATAACCTTCCTGAGGCATTAAATGTTGTGGATTTTTATTGATTCTTTATAACTTGTACGATGCTAGTAATCGTCGTCAACGATGATTTCCCTCGTTCGTCCCATCCACGTGTTCACTGAATGTAACCCCACATGGTTGGAAGGTCCAAACGAGGATTGAGCACAGGCCTTAGGTGTCCTCGCGATTGAACGCGAGGGAGACATTCGGTCAATGCGAATTCTCCTCAGTATGTTTAAAATACTGCGAAATGCCTGTCCTTGTATCGAGGCTTATGGCATTCGCCATAATATTGTTGACGGTATAATGTGGTTTCGAAAGTATATCTATATAACGAAAAGAGAGAGGAAATGCGGTGTAAGACTGCTACAGCGTGATGTGTCGCGACCCGAATTGATCTATCTTTGCTCTTAAATAAATATAAATTAAAAAAAAGGAATTAGGATAATAAATTTTATTAAGTTAATGATATCGATTCAAATATTCAAAATATTTTAATTAACATATTGCAAAGAGTACTCTATGTTTATATCTTATTAATTTGTAACTTTTTGAGTATTTCAAAACATGCATGTAGCTTCTTTATGAATCTTACTACTTAATTAGCATTTGTTTAAAATAAAAACATGTTTCTTAATAAATATTAATAGAATAAAATCATTTCTCAATGATATTAATAGATTCTCAATGATCTTAATAGCTTTCTCAATGATATTAATAGATTCTATTGAAGAATTCGAACTTTGTTTATACATTGTTGTAAGAGGAGATTATTAATTCGGGCCGATTAGCGCTTGTACGAGGATTAGATGCAATTCTGTCGCGTGTGTAGGAATCGTGTCAAAGGACTGATAAACTTCGTGCACGCGCGAGCGTCCTCAATAATTCTCTTTCGTGGCTGGTTCGTCGGATCAAAGATTTTCTCTGTATATTATCTATATTATTGTCACACAAATGCGCGATCATGTGGTCCGCTGATAAACACGCAGATATTTCAACACGTGGTAGAATGCTCCACGTGACCCACCCGCGATCCAACTGTTTTCCTTGAGAAAAGAGCTTTATTTCACTATTGTTGCACTAATAATGAAGAAAGCAAGCGAGAATGATAAAGAAAAAAGAGAGAGAGAGAAAGAGAGAGAGAGATAGAATTATTTGTAAGCTCGCGTTGGATTGTGTCAATCACATTAATACTATTTGATTGTACATCTAATTGTAATGATCGCAAGATGGATGAAAAGTGAATCAAGAAAAGAAGAGAGAAAGAGAAAGAACGAAAGTATATGCATGCGTGCGTGAGCGAGCGAACGAGCAAATGAGAGAATACAACTTGCATATAATGCGTGCAGTTGTTCAGAGACGGAATTGAGACGTCTAATTAACGAGATATTGTAAATTGTTCTATAGCAAATGAGAAAAGCGCTACGACCGTTGCAACGCGTTCCTTGGGAGTCTCCGAGTAAAATGTGACATCTTCTTTTGTTGGAAATTGAACTGGAAATATCATTTAAAACGAAAGCTCGTCAAATGTTTCAGTGACTTTTGAGGGACGCGCTGCTTTGATCGTTTCGATGTTGATATGTCAATGCTGTGATGTTATCCTTTGAAATTAAACAAGAAAGGAGTATATTCCCAGCCCCCTCTGACACGCTCCACCTACTTACCGATCCCTCCTCCCTCATCCCCCGAAAGATCCTGCAACAGGACGACCTCTCCCTCGAGATACCAAATATTTCTATTATTGTAATTCCGCATAGTCCTTAAAATAGCTAGATTTTAATCGTATTTAATGTAAAGATTATTATTGTTACATCTCAGTGATTCTCTCCTTTGCCAGTGATGTCTCGGAGAGACGAGAAGCAAAAATGAGAACAAGCAAAGAAGCACATTTTATAATGTCGTCATAGCGTATGGCCGATCGATTCTCTCCCACATGTCATTGGTACCCAGATTCCTACATTTGTCGCATTTGTAAATAAAATTTTTATCATCACATAACACCGAGACGCGTTATATTTTTTCTTAAAATAAATTGTCCCCTGATTAAAACAGAAAAATATTTTAATAACACGATATTCGGTGATTCTATGTAAAAAATACTAGAAGTAATATTTAATAGAATTATAAATAAAAGCTTTTATCATTGAGAAGAGAAATAGCGAAATAGTATTTTCGATATGAATATTTTTCAATTAAAGTGCTAAAGCTTGTGAGATTTCACAGAGAGCCCGATGTAATTGACACAATTATTTTTATGTTGTTTCTAATTTCAACGAAATTTTCTATTATCATTGATATTATTGAGCAAACGATATATTTCAGATCGGCAAAGTAATTCATCGTGAAATTTTATAAACCTTCGTACTCTAATTATACGCAAGGCGATTTTATACGCAAGGCAAAAAATAAAACAGAATATGATTTAGGACACATAAATCATTATTCGATATTCTCTCCTATAAAATACAAATAGACAATACAAAAAAAATATTTACATTTTATGTAGGTACATTAACTCGACACATAAGTGCGATATGAAATTATGTCTCATCGACGCACAACGTTACACTGACGACGTACACACATCAAAGACTCTTGTAGGTAAATGCACATTCGGCTGCCGTATTCGACACACGTGTGTGTTACTCTATATTTTCATATACGTATCGTACCGAAAAAAAACTCTTTGGTAATAAAATATAAAACGCACTACGGTAAGAAGATATAGGTCTTCATTTAGTTCCTCTGTGTGAAAACAATGAAGTTGCGTGAATCACCATTCGCATAGTGACTTTTAAAGCGTTTCGAGCAATTTCAGATATTTATTCAATGCGATAAAATTGTTTGCCCATGCAATAGCGAGAGAAATATGATTTACAATCGGTGACTATAAACCATTTTGACGTTTGGTAAATTACATTTCTGCAATCACAGGCGATTGCAAGAGGAACGATAAGTATGTACGCATGTATGTACTATTGAAAATGGTTATTACAACTTCTCGCGACAATCCTAATCAATGCGATAACAGCGAGTGTTACATAAATTCTTCTCGCTTGTAATATTTACATATAAGGAATATAAGGAAATGTCCGATATCTTAGCTGGCCGGATTGCACGAAATTTTGAATATAGATAAATTGTTAATAATTTAAATCTTCTTTCAGACGAGTTTAACTAAACGTCTTTTACATATTCTTCACATTACATAAATAAATAATATTTTATTCTTAATCACTTATTGCATCTTGAATCGTTCCACACAAGCAAATCTTATTATTGAATATGCAAAGTTTTATTGTTATTAAATTTAATTCCGATTAATATTATAGAAAATGTTAAACTGTTTAAGGTACCGATTTATTATATTTTTTTAACGTTAAACAAATATTTTATAAAAAATTATTAAAATACATATCTCAGGTTGGTAAGTTTTACACGTTTCTATAACATATTATTATTATATATATATACACACACATATATATATATATATGTGTGTGTGTATATATATATATATATATACTACATATCTAAAATTTTATATGTCTACCTTTGGTACAATTCCCCTTGCTACTATAACTAATATCGTAAATTCTCTTTGTTCAGTGTTATCAGCTTTTGATCAGCTGAAATACAAACGGCAAACGAGCATTTAAATATTGCAATTTAATTCGCCTTAAATTTGGTTTAAAAAAATTGATACTTTTTTTTATTAAAATATTAATTAAATAACGTAACATTATCGAAAATTACCATATTCTTTTCGATTTAAAATTTTTTTAATAGACTTGATCAAACTATTATAACAAAATAATAAATCGAAATAGATATAACAATATAATTGAAATTTAAAAAGTGACCAAAGAAGGCAAGCTACGTTTTTTTTAAGAAAAATCGAAGATACACGTTTGCTCATGCCTCATAGTGCTCATAGTATTCGAAATCTAAATATTACACACGAAGAGACAAGGCTACTGAATAGTCGCAACGTAAGTTTTCTCGTATTTCCAACGAGAGTCTCTGGTAACTCTGACCGTTTTGCGGAGTGAACTTTCGCGATCAACGCAATTTCTATTAGTTTCGATCGTATTTATGCATAAGCTCGCGCTTATGCAAGCGATTCGGCTCTTATATAAAAAGATAATTTTCGTAATCGGCGTAGGAGGAGGCAGTCACATGTTTTGACGAGATTGGCGTCGACGGAACGCTCTGTGGGAATTGCTGCAACCGCGGCAGCTGTACTTGCGGAAGATCGGTTCCATGGGATACGACAATTCGTGACGTCTGACTGATGGAACCTAATGACGAGTGATGCTGATCCCGATGGATAATGTTGTTGTTGTTATTGTTGTTAGCGGTAACACTGGTTTTCCCAGCGAGATGATGTAGACTCAAATGATTGTTATTTTCGATTCTTGAATTGTAATGGATAGGAAGACTGTCGTGGAGATCCAGCCTCGACATCGCCATGGTGATGCTTGAGTCCGACGCCCACATACTCTGAAACGACATAGGATTGTGTAACAGATTTGACTTTCTACTAAGCTTTTATGAATAATTCTGATGACAACGTAATTATACGGATTGGCTATTATGACTATATGATTTCTTTGTTTGAGTGCAGTGTCTCGTACTGTCTACTTCTCAATGGCAGAGAAGACGCCAAAGCTGACTCACTACATGACACAAGCTCTTGAAGACAAAGTATCATAAACAATGACGTTTACATTTTTCTTCGCGAATACATTTTCCAAGATATATAATGTAATATCGGAGATAATACAAAATATATTATTTTAGCGAAAGATATTTTTAAAAAAATTGTATCCTAAATGCTATTAAATTAATAAATTTACTGTCATACCTTCCGCCTGTGTTGGTTATAATCTGGATTGCGCCTAATGCGAAGATGTCGATCCGCGCTGGTCCACCGTTGTGTGACTTTGAGTGGGGAATCATCGGGGTGTAATTTCCTTTGGTACTCTTCACCTTCACAGACCTCGTAGAGAGAAAATTGCTCCACCGGTTCCTTAGAGCTATAGCAACTCAGCAACATCTGGATCAACTCGTCTACGGTGGTCTGCTCCGAGACCAGAAGGCTCTTGTATTTAGACTGTGAACAATAAGTACCAAGTTTGTTCACAATTACTGCAGTATAGACAAAAACTTATTTGAATTAATAATTTTATCGCAAAAATGCTTCAAAATAATTTAAATTTTAGTTTTCAATATATGTTTTTATTTTCGTAAAGTTACTAATATTATGCAAAATAATTTATTATACATTATAAGTTTTTTAAATGTGAGATATTATTACGCATATATATCAAAGTTTCAATTACTAATGTAGTCTGTTATATATTTTTCTTTGTGCGAGAAGACAAATTTATTTACCCCGGACATGAGTGCGCTGTCGTATATTTTGATGAGTCCGCCACGACGTGTCTGCAAGGAAAACCTGCAAACAAGAAGAATGTAAGCACACAAGTTTATGCATCGGAGATGCCACGATACCGACAGGAGTAGTAGGTCGGTAGGTTCAAAGGGCACCAACGAGCGTTATTTTTATGTAAAAGCACCGGTTTGTGTCAGGAGACAAACGCTCTCGTCCTGTATTACGCGCATAGTCTCACCGGAAGTCTCAGAGTACCAAGAAAACATCGGTCGAGATTCTTTCGTAAATGAACCGTTTTAATCGTTAAAGAGTTACGACCATTCTTTTCACAAATTAGTGAGTTGTAAATATTTTTCATCTACTATAATGTCGCAACTTTTGCGTTACGATGCGCACGTGGAATCTTAAAAATGTCTTCATGTTCTTTCCAACGATCTCTAACATTTACAGTCGAGACCACCGTCAAAATTCCATAAATTCCATTTTCTTTCGTAATCAAATAGTCGTATTTATATTCCTCGCGAACTGTACATCAAGGATTACGGCGACCCACGCGACCACTGTGTTCAAGAATTATATCGGTGAGCGACGCGGAGGACGTCGACCATTGTTAGCTCGTGCTCGACGGCCTACGGGATGTGTTTATAGTCATGAGCCCTGAAATTATGTCACGAAGCCGACCGAAACCGAAAGGGCCGATGGTCAAGTACAAAAGTAGGTAAGAAATATACTTGGAATCGCCACGAGGATGGCAGGACTGCAGAAAGGCTGGCCTCGCGTCTTCGTCAAGCGGCAAGATAGTGCGCACATTGGTTCTCCTCACGATCACCTCCATGGTCAGATAAAATAACCGGGGGTCACGATGTCTCATGCGATACTTATTTAGAAGATTTTGCACGACCTCGCGACAGGTCGTCTCATAAGTGATGCTCAGAGTCTTATATTCGATGTCTGGCCGCAGGCAGTTGGCATAAACTTTGATGGTGGTCTGCAACAAGAAAATATCAATTTTTCATTAATGCACTGAATGTTTATATCAGTAACTAAATTATCAGTACAAATTACTTAAAAAACATTATTATTAATAACTTATTTTTATTAAAAAGTACACTATAAATAGAAATAAAATAAATAAAACATAGAAATAAAAAAAAAATTTTTTAATTTTAAGTTCGGTGGCGTAGAAAAGCGACATCCTGTTTTGGCAGTGCAGTAAAAAACTCCGAAACCACGGGCCTTAACAATTAGTCCATAATTAACTCGGAGACAGACGTTGCCACGCGTGCGGCATAAAACGCTATCAACCCTTCCGATACGACTGAATATGAGGGGATGCGCACACCGAAAATAAACCAGACACCAGATCATCCCGTTCGCAGATGCCTTTGCGCGCACGCATACGCCAACATCTACATTAATACATCCGCTTATTGAATCTATTACTTCGGATTTAGAAAAATAAACATAATTCCATATAATAGAATTTACGTAGAAACTGAAAAAATGCGATTAAAAAAATTAAAATCCATAAAATTATATATTTTTAAGAGGATATAAATCTATTACATTTAATTTTTTATAAAACTTATACATAATCACTTATTAACTTTTTTATATTTAGAAAATTTTCTATATTTATTCTTTTATTTAAATAATTCTCTAAATGAACGTTTCAATAAAAAGTGACAATGTTTTCATAAATAATAATACTCTTTTCATCAGATAGAATTTATATCTCTCCACACCTCCAACATTCAGGTTTACCAATATCACAAATCAGTAGCATGTCAGTTTTGGTGCCACGAACATGTGTTTACATAAAGGGACTTCCCTCGAAACACGAGTTTTCATTGGTAAGATTTTACGAGTTAGTCGTACGCTTTTATCACCCTGTCGAAAGTCCTTTGACCCGAAACGCGCCTTGCGAACGTGTATTCGAATGTGTTTGCACATTCATCCGAGAAAGGTGATTTCATCAAAACTCGTATAAATTGAAATTGTCACAGGAAACCGGAACATGGGTTTACGAAATCCAGTTGGTCTCGTCCGGATCCGGCTGAGTCTTTATCGTGTGAAATAAACACGTTTCGATGACAATCGTGGGATTATACCTCGAATGCGCTTATTACAATGTCAACAATGGAATTCATTGCGTACTGTTGAAGTAGCGTATTGTAAGTTAAATCCATCTAGATTATTATTACATTTTGTCTTATTGTATAACATCATGAAATTTTGGAGGAAGACGTTATAAATGACTATATATAGTTCCATGTTTGAAAGGAAATAATTTGTAACATTTATAATCCATCGTTGTGAAGAAAGCCATTGAATTTTTTGGCCAAGTAAAAACAAATGTATACATATTCCTTTTTTATATATTTTTGTTGTTAGTTAATGAATCGCACGCTTGTAAAAAAATACACGAATCAGTACAAATCCGTTGCGAAACTCTCGGATAAGTTTTACGATGACTGAAGATCGATAGGGAAATAACGAGCCGGGCCTAACAAGTGGCACCCTAACGAAGCCACGGCTGGCATAAATATACAACGCCCAACACCCTGACTGTAGAAAGATTTTTATCTCAGCAGCGAACCTCGCACATTTTCGCAGAAACATCTTTATGTGTGTAGGTGCAACAAAATTTCTGATTCAGCTGGAATTCCAATACGCTTACGTTAATGCCATTTACGCAAATTGTTTCACCGTGCGGTACGCGTGCACCATCTTTAAGCAGAGATTTTTCCTTAAGTATACCACATCCGGGGCAAGGTACAAGAATCGTTATGAATCATTGATTCTAATCATTACGATGTTTCTTTTCCTTCTTGGAATAATTTGAACAAACGACACATAAAATTAAAATAATAAAAAACATATTTACAACAAAATATATTATTATGAAATTCAACAATAAAATCAACATCAGTCCATAATCCAAATTTTTAAAAATAGCTTTAATTAATTTATTAGAAACGAAATAAAAACGTCGTATTTGCAATTTTAAATACTCATTGGAAATTACATAATAAAGTTACTTTATTAAAAATCATATCGAAGAACTGGTAAAGATAGTCGGTCGACTGTGTTTTCATCTGATTTGCGGTTAATGAAAGGGAAAATAACGCGGGAGTTAGAAGGCATGCGAGTGTCAAAGCAAGGCCTGTGCTTCGTCAGGATCGAGAAGGACATATGACACTCCGTTACGAGCGGTACGCTTCAGTATCTCGCACCCGGCTATACAGGGCGGACAGAAATACATCTCAAGATATTTTGGTTCTTCGAGGTGAGAGTATAGTTTGACTCACGTACAATTGACACTGCTGTCAAAATGACCATCTCGATAACTTTGAACGTCACAACTATAAAACAAACTAACACTTTTACTTAACATATAACACTTAACATTAAGAAAAAATTTAATTAAACATATTTCTTTATTTTTTCATTTCTTCACTTCTTATTTTAAAGTGCCATAAAATTATGCACCAAACCTTAGAAGCACTTTGTTCTTCGAAATGTATTCATACCTCGGTTGGGGTTATCAACATGCAACTTATCTTGCATAATATGCATGATGATATCACCGTCGCTATTTATAAAACCGCACACAAGGAAGATTTTGATAACTTGTAGATTAGCTTTTCGTGCCCTTGATCTTACGTTACAGTCGATAATAAGATGTTGCAACCAGTTTTTTGCCAATGGTAGCTACTAATATGCTTCACATTAATTTTACAATGTATAAAAAATATTAAAACAACAAAAGATATTCAAATCTTTCAGCAATTTTTTAATCAGCGTGCATGATTTAAATATTGCGATTATCATATTTGAAAGATTTATCTTGTCATATCTAGAATCATTATACGTCACAAAATTTCACATTCCACGAAAGTAATAAAAATTTTTTATTTAAAAGCGTTACTGTATCTTCACGTCTCGTTATTCAAGTTCTAAGAATCTACCGATTGCTTTAATCGATTATCTCTTAAAAAGAATCATAATTACGCATCGATCTAGACATAGGTTGTCTGACGACTTCACTTCTTTTATACTTGTTAATTACATCGTTAACAGCAAATTCCACACGAGGAAAACGACTGTATTTTTACATCGCCCTAAAAACTTATTTTGTAAATCGAAGCTCTAATGGGGAAGTTCTAATAGAGAAGATTAAGGAATTCAAAGAAGCGGAGGAAGTCTCGAAATTTAGCCGGTAATACGCCATATCGAGCACGCGGTACGACAAAAAAATGAAACATAAAATGGGATAGTGGGTGCCATATGTCACGGAATGCCATCGTAATAAGGGGGTCCAATTTAGCTGGAATCCATAAAAATCACGAACTTGCTCTTCGCGAAGGAAGAATGCCATAGACATTTAGAATTTCTGTGCCGTTAATTTATATGTTCAAAACCGGTAAATCAGCCATTGCCATCTTTGACTTCTACCTCCCTCCTGTTCTGATTCGTGCTGTTCTGCCAGCAGCTCATTGGCGCTCTAAATATAGTCATCTTTATCGTGAGTTTATCGTTATCGGCTCGGTTCTCAACGCTCGCTTCGAAATGTCACCCGTTATACATATTCTCATTTTGGAGCAAGGTAAGCGACACCTTTCAACGGAAACTTTTAATCGAGGTTTTTTTTTCAATTATCTCATTTCTGCCTAATGAATGAGTGTTAAAACACTCGTTTAAGTGTATCGTTCATTTCTATTTTTTATGAATATTATTTCACATTTTCTGAATTATTTATTATTTCTGACTCATGCAGACAAAAATTATAACCAATCTATATTGACACAAATGTATAATTATAATTAAACTACTTCATGAAAAATTAATGTGTTCAAGTACTAAGTTCTAAAGTAAATATCAGTAAAATATATTTATCTGAGACATCTTGTATTAAATATATAATTGAGAGAAAGTGATGTCTGTCTCGATTTATTAAGTTATATTATTCTTAATGCATGTGTTGTTTCTCGCATGGCGCCGTCTATTTATAATATTTGTTCTCCAGTTGATAAAAGACGCAACTCCGACGCCGACTATTTCGCTCGAGCGGCAATCGAGTTAAATAGCGAAAAAAATTGTACTTAGAGATAACAGTACCGCCCTGTTTTGAAAATTGCAAACTTAATCGATAAATTGTGAGCAGTGTCATCACCCATCAGACTTTCTGTGATATTAAATATAATGTGAGGTCACGTTCAATTATTCGAATCGCGATAATGTCGCAAATTATGCGTCTGCTTGCTTCACGGAACAATACAAAAATCTGTCTAATTTCCCAGCAATATATTTATTGAAAACGCGATCATTATTTTCTAATTCTCTTAGCAAGATATACATTTTTTAAATACAGTTATACACGATAAATATTTATCGTACATAAGTACATGTTTTATAAATATTTGAATAGCCTTATTAGATAATGTAAATATCGTTCATCGAAGTCTCAAGTCTCCGTGAATTTCAACAAATATTCATTCAATATACAGTTATAATTTATTTTGGTTAAAAATTTAAAAAATATCACGAACACCCTATAGATTTGGCATATTTCGATATGGACGATGTTCGTTCATTTCCATGCAACTCCATGTAACTTATGAATAGCAGTTTCAGCTTTCAATGGCTACCAGTAGTCTCAGGTAGAAGGCCCGTGCATAATAAATTTCTTATCCCGACGCTTCATTGAGTCCTGCGTCTCCTCCTTTATGCGTGGCACGTGCTTTTCGATCCTCAACTGCCATTTTTCCTTGTGAAGTCTTCAGGTACCGTCGTTACTCGAGCACGTGTCCCCTCTCGTTTATCCTCCTCTCGGCTTCCGGTCGGAGAAGGGACCGCGAACGAGCGTAAAGTTCACTTTTAAACGAAGAAAAAACGTTAGTCTGCCTATATCTCGCTTAAAAGTTCTGGATATTATGGGAATAATTATCCGCGGGAGGTGGTCCAGTGAGCATCACATTACGGTTTAAAAGCGTAAAACTCACGTTTCTGAAGTCACTAAAACGCTTTGTTACTTTGTACTGTGGTTTTTCTCATAATTATTTTTAATTATTACTATTATGATTGTGGCGTCTTTACGTACTACAAAAATAGCGCAATTTAATTTCCTGGAATAGTGTAGATAATTTGACATTTTAAACACAAAAATAAATTGCAAACAATTTTTTTATCTGTACAATAATAATGTAGAGAGAATATATAATTTTATCTATATAACTAAAATTTTTGTTTGTCTGTGATTAATAACGAAAATGATATTCACCAACACCTGCAATAGGCAGTAACAAAAGTTTTGCTGATTGTATATAATTTGACCAGCATATCGCAAGAACTACCATCAGTCACCTTGAACGTTGTCAGCAGCTAATATAGGATTTCAAGTGTCATCGGCTTTAATTAATTCGCCAATCATACGACACTCATCGTCGCGATAAAGCGTAACCTTTCGTGCTGTTGTTGCCCGCGGACAATATTGATAACGTAATTCTGAGAGTCGATGACTATTATTGAAACTATAATTGAAATTGCTACTCGGTGCGTAACTGTATCCGCATGTTTAATTAAACAGCCAGCTACAATTAAGTCTAGCAGTCTCTAATTTCTTACAATTAACGCGGTCCTGACAAACCGCTCGTTATGTTAATTACTCCCGCACGATCTCTCTGTTGCGATCATTAAATTCAAAACTTTGCGCTTGATCCGTGTTACTCTCACCGTTTTCCCGGATCTCATGTAAATTGTCCTTTCAGGATCATTCGTCGATCTAGCGATCCGCGAGATTGCGTATCGCGGATCTGTTGAGAAACCTCTCGGCGGATATCTCCTGACGGATTCTTACTTTCGCGCCACTTTCCCGACGCGAGACAATGCTCGTCACGAAAGCCATGGGAGACATAATTGTTGCTGAAACGCACATTTCGCACGCTCGATGGAAAATCATGTGACTGGAAACCGCAAGGTGAGAATTTGACGATGGTTGATAAAACGTCACCCGTGCGACTTCTTTTTCTCTTATGTCCCGAATTGTCGCACGACCCGGTTTACATAATTTCAATCTATAACAGGAATAACCATTATGGATTGGATAATAAGCTCATTTCTGCGAGGCTGTGTACGCAAATATTGTGCTGAAAAGTTCCGATATATCGCAGAAACAAATGCAAAAAATAATTCTTGTCATGCTGATTCGTCGTTGTTATGTAAAAGATTGTAAAATGATCAAAACGATCAATTTATTAAAATTAAAAAATATTAAGTGATTACTTTAAAAATTTCTATAATGAATTTTATTTATAGTAAAGAATTTTATTATAGATTAGATTAACTAAAAAAATTATTAGTGCATCACAATATAGTTCCCAGAATTCATTTCAAAGAATAATATGCTTTATAAATTATATTATATAGTCAAATAATTAATTTTCTCTTGGGAAAGAAGCTGAATTTTGTATTTTACTTATTGATTGCGCGCGCAGTTTGTGAGATTAATTAAAAGTGATAAAAGTCTTTTTTTCTTCATATCTATCTTAATTGGCATATGTAATGCGTATGTAATTTAAATTTTGCATAACGAATTTTTATTATATTTTGACGCTAGAATCTTCTGTTATTAGTATGAAGGCGTTGGTTTTCACAGTTCCTCTTGGCGAAGAGAAAACGACATTAAATCGAGCGTGTCGAGTTCAACTGCAGAGTCTCTGAACCCTTCGCCTCGAGGTCAGGAATTTCACGCGAGGGTCAATCACTGTCACTTGCATTGCCGAAGTCAAACATTTCGAGCTAGCTAATCGAGATTTCCAACAAATACCATTAAATTTGGTCAATTGCAATAAAAATATAACAAAATATCTTAAGTTGATTCCAAACTAACTTTATTCAAGCTATAACTCTATAAAATAATGCTTTAGAAATAAAAAGATTTTCTTATTAAAAACAAGAACTTATTGCCTTTGTTTATAGTTCAGTTTATTATCCATTCGAGACGGAAGTAAAACTCGAATATTGCCGCAACATTGTGCGTAGTTTATGTTCTATTTCCACGGAACAGTAAACTGTTGCATTTGGGTTATAAAATTGAGGATGCTACATCGCATGAAGTTGATGGCGGTAATAATGATGACGAGGCAATGCCATGTAGTGTGGGTCAAGATTATCTTGCGATCTCCTTTTATGCATTACCGTTGTAACGGCAGATTTATCCACTTCTATTTTGTCAATGGTGATTTTAGCATTTTATAAATTCAAAATTAAAAAAGTAAACATGCAAAAGAAAACTGCACGAAGAGAGCAAATGATGATTAACTATTTCTAAATTAAGTGATCGTATTAATTGACAGCAGATGTCTGATAATATATCATAATAATCAACCTTGACGTTAAATAACAATTCGACACACAAATCATTATCAATTCTTTTTCTTGTATCTAGCAAATCTAAAGAAACAACTTTGAATTCTACTGACGAGGACTAAAGAGACAAAGGTACAATAGATTGAAAACTTAATAAAGAAAATCTCGGATTACTGCTACGAAGCTAACAATGAGACACGTGCACAAATAGAATCAACTGATATCATATTTATATGCACGTTGTATCTCTGACTGCATACTGCACTCGCATCCCGATAAGAACCCATTCGCGAAGGGCCACACAGAAGCGCGCCTTCTCAAATTCATTCGCTAGAGGAGATCGGCCATGTCTGGCCGTGGACATCTACGAGTATCTGACAATTGACACCCGTTTCCGGTCCTTCAAGCGATAATACAAAGGAGCAGCGATGTCCTAAAGAAGAAAAGGGGGCACGTGCCCTCATCGCGTGCCCCGCTTTTACTATGGCCCGTGTTCCTCGCGATGTGTTCCCGGTACACGGAACATAATACGGTCATGGTGGAAAGCTTCCTTCCTGCGAACGCGCCATCGTGCGTAAGTTTCTTCTGGAGCCATATGGCATCGGGGCTTCTTCCTCCTCGCGCAAGATGAAAGCGAAACCGCATGTTGTTACTACTCGTTGCACGGGCGAGTGCATGCGCGTGCCGTCACGAGGATACAATTCGCGTGATAGACGTGCCACAAACAGCCATTCTTTAAGCCGGATGCGTGACTTTGAACATTTCTCGCCAATCGATTTTGTAATCAATAGAGAGAGATATCCTCAAATTTTATAATTATTTTTATTATCCTCCTTTTCCTCTTATATCTTAGTGTTTAGAAGCAGAGGTAATTAATATATTCATTGTCAGATACACATGTGTCAGATATACATTCAAGTAAATTAATATGAACACTTGTTGCGCAGCATATCTAATGCGTATCAATTTAATCTTACGTAATATTAATGATAAAGCATAAGTTAGTAAATTAAAACAAAATTCACATATATCGTACGTATTCATTTCAGTAATAAACGAAGTCATCATCTACTCTAGTAAATTGCTAGTAATGATGTACGTGCACTGCATTATCATGGATAAATCGGATAATGCATTGCAGCAATGAGTTATACGGAAGCACGAACAGTCGAATTAATTGCAAGAATTGCTACGTGGAATTTCTTGACGCAAGAAAAATTTCCGCAAAGATTCTCTCGCTCACGCGAGTTTAGTTCGCTTTTTAATTTGCTCCCTGATAAATTTTTACAAAATGTATTTGTAAAATATAAAAAAAAGTTTGGTTAAAAATTTCATAAAATTAATAATCGTCAAATGATGAATAAACATGCAGCTGTTTATACAAAACTGCCAAGAGTAATCCAATGACCAATGGAAGTACCAGAGACAGTTGTTTTACTTCCACCATATTTTTTTATATGAATGGGACAAGCTGTGTGCACTGGACCGGCGGGATATAGATCGTTTTCGAGTTTACATCCTGTCGCCTCTCAAAAGCCGGAACGGACATGGTGTCGCGTGCCCGGCTTTGCGTTTTTAAAAAAATAAGACAGCTGTGGCGGAGAGCGTCTCCCTTTTGCAAGAAAAGTGCCGCCACTCAATTCTCGAAATGAAGTACTCCCTTCCTAAGAAGTAACTCAAGAATATTTTAGAGAAACTTCTTTAAAAAAATAGTAGTTCTACTATTTTGTCATAAGAATAGATATTGTTAGAGAAACATAATAGAGAAACATTAGCAGGAAGCACAGAATGGAAATGGAAATAGAGACGCTCACTAGGAAACTCTACTTAATGCTAGCGCATATTTTATTATGTGTGAACATTAGCACCATCGCATTTTTGATCTTCTATTCATCAGCTTGCAATAAAAAATAGTAATAAAAATAGTATATGCACCGGAATAGCTTCTTTCCATCGAATATGTGAAAGCAGTGCTTCCCTGGAAAAACACTATGTTGCCAACGGAAAATAATTATACAGACATCTAATGCAGCTTTGTGCACACTTAAACGTAACAATTTAACAACTTAGCAACTTTTGTAAAACGGATGTTCTAGGCAAATTTGATGCATTTACGCGCGATTATTCATAACGAGCTAGATAAAAGACCATTTATGATATTGTATACATGCTCTTTAAATCAAATGTATCTATTGAGTGGAATAATTTAAATTTATATATGGAAAATGCGATAATAAGAAACGTAAAGCAGATTATGTCAATATAAAATTTTAATAGTATTTAAAAAGTAGTTAGTAAGTTAGTAGTTAGTAATTAAAAAAATATATATCTTATGGACGCAATACGAACGGTCAAAGGCTAACTATGACGTGATGAGTGGAATAAAAAATATGCTATAATTTATTCTTGATTCATTAAACAAAAGAAAAGTCTAATCTTCCTTAATAAATAAATCGCGAGCATTCTTTAAGAGATATTTTATTTATAACTTTACACTTTCTAGAATTAATTTAAGGAAATTTATTATAAAATATTGAAACTTGTTTAATTAAAGCAAACGAATCACAAAATATAATTCACTTTCTTGCGTTCATTTTTACATTCCTTGTTTAACATTTGTCATATTTCATAGCATGTCATTATAAAATGACTTATAATTGCTTCAATTATTTAATTAATTGTGTATGCTATTCCGAGTCTATTGTTCTAAAGAAACTGGATTGATCGATTATTTATATATTATTATTTAAGCATGTTGTTTTGATTATTTATATTTATGATCCGGCACATTAGGGAAGCAGAAAGTCGGTGACAGACGGTCGCAGGTCCGTATAATTGATTCTTCCTCTCCTGCTGATTGTTTTAAACGAGAACAACTCGACCAACTTTAAGTCCCCCGTTTACCACCAACACGCGCGCGATTATTAGCGACGTACAGCCGCCGTGCGTGGAACGTTCGCATCCGGTTTGTAGAGTGTGGAAGAGCGACAAAGCATCCTCTCCTATGCCGGCCCAACGTAGATACGGCTCTAATCTCATCGAGCGTGTCACGCTAGTGATCTCTTGAAATAGGGAAACAAGCATAGTTATCATACTTGCGACTCATCAAATGCCCTTCCAGACGGAAGACAAATTAATGCGTAATTGCGATCGCGGAACATCTTGTCATAGACATATTGGTTTATCTACGTCATAGTTAGCCTTTGACCGTTCGTATTGCGTCCATCAGATATATATATATATATATATATTTTTAATTACTAACTACTAGCTTGCTAACTACTTTTTTAAATACTATTAAAATTTTATATTGACATAATCTGCTTTACGTTTCTTATTATCGCATTTTCCATATATAAATATTGGGAACTTCTGTTTTAAAGAAACAAATCAGTTGAATTGAAAAAATAAAATAATTTCATAATTGTTGATTAATAATTATTTTAAACACCAGATAGCAGATAAATACAATATAGATATAAACTTCATTTAAATTGAATTAAATTCACTCGATTACATAAATCAATTCAATAGCTCAAATTTAATTCTACGATTAGTCACAGTTTATGAACGGAAGTTGACGTACTATTAAATTTGAGTTCAATTAAATGCACTTTGAATTGTCAAGGGAAAGCAGAAATATTTAAATTAAGTAAATAATTTTTATTTTTTAATAATTTATATTTTATAAATGTTGCATTATCAATATTCTCACAAATTACTCTTTTCAAAATTGTTTTAGAAACAAGTGTTGTAAACTAGCATTTTAAATTATTTGCACAACATGACACTGACTTATCTATGTAACGTCATTATTTATAAATCTAGCCTAGAGTCTGTTCTTCTGATCTATCTGGCGTCGACACAACTGTGTGAGAGTGATAATTTATCTTCTAAAGTGTATGATGCAGAGCACAGCAGTGTATAAGCTGGTATCCGTCAGCGGACAGTACGTTCTTCATGTACCCGGCACGCGTGCCGAAACATTCATTAAAGCTTTTCGTCCGCTCTTAAGTGTTGAAGACATAATATTGGTAGAACAGTAGTAGTAGATTAGAGTCGACAAATGATATCCTACAATTCATTACTATGTGATATGTCCTATTAAATTTGACTCATTTAATATTTATATTAAAAATATAAATATTGCACTCTTCTGTAACAAACGATTAAAACATACAATTAAAATATCGAAATATCTGATTTATATTATTTGTTTTTTATTAAATATTTATTAAGAGGTCAAAGTTGAAAAAAATATGTTGCCAAATTATAGAGAAGCACCGCATAAATGGCGATAAAAAAAGATAAGGAAAGAGAAACTTATGCTTCTTCTTTTTTCACGATATCTTTTTTCACGATATCTTTTTTCACGTATCAAAGAAATATTCGACGCCACTCTGTAATTTACTCGCGATATATCATTTTTCGCAGTGATACGGGTGCACGGTAATTCGCGGGAGTCACGAAAAGGCTCAAAGGGAGTGTGGTCGTGCATCCGCGC